TGGATGCGGACAGCCCTCCTAAGGGCCTCCCGGCTGGCAGCCATGCGGGGCTGTGCGTACTGGCTAGCTGGCCAAAGGCCCCCTCAGTCACAATGCGGGCCCTGCTGAGCCTGGCATTGAAGGCCTGCTGGGAGGAGTTAAGGTGTCCCATGTAGGGCTTCATCAGCCAGGGCTGTAGGGGGTAGGCCCCATCCCCCAGCAGGCACACTGGCATGTCCACGTTCCCGACCCTGATATGGCAGTCAGGGAAGAAAGTCCCAGCGTGCAGCCTCTGGCACACGGAGGAGTTGCGGTACACCCGCATGTCGTGTGCCTTGCCAGACCAACCCAGATTGATGTCCGTGAACTGGCCCCGGTGGTCAGACACGGCCTGCAGAATCATGGAGCAGTACCCCTTTCTGTTGATGTAGAGGGAGGCCTGGTGGTCCAGGGCATGGATGGGGGATGTGCGTCCCATCGATTGCCCCCCTCCCCCCCGCCGCAGTTGGGGAAGTAACAAAAGAGCTAAATGCTTACAAAAATAGTTAATTTTGTGTGTTTTTCCTTAAACACAGCCCTACATTAAGAGTGAAAATTCTTCTTAATATGTGTTTTTGTTACCATGAGCCTCTGAAAATAATATATACTTTTGAGTTTCTCAAGTTCAGACATCATTGTGCACGCCCAGTGTTAAAAGCCAGGCTGAATACTGACATAAGTGGGTCTATTGTAGTTCATCTTGTGCTGATGTGTTAGCTTGTTAGATTTAAAAAAAAATCAGATGTTCTGAGCACTGCAGTTAGCAATAAATATTATTGTGAAGAGTGTTGGGGCATGGGGAGCAGAATTAAATAGAATATGTTTCTTACCAAATATTAATATTTAGTGTCTCTGTTTAGAACATGGCCCATCTCTTTATAACGTAAAGATAAAAGTTAATATAATGTTTATATTAATTTTAAAGTAACATTAGAGTGCCATCATCTCAGAGCTGTTTTATTCCCAGAATTCCTAGAAGTAGTCTCTTTATTTACCTTATACTTATTTTTGTGTCTTGCTATTTTGTCCTACATGTTTTAGAATGGATACGTAAACAACTGGTAATAGTACATCTCATCTGATGCATGGTTAATTCTCATTAAATATGAGACTCATTCTAGAGCAGGGTTCTCAAAATGGTCCGCAAAACCATGTTGAAAGACCTGCTATCTGGCCTCTTTGTTGTGTTTATTTACCGCTCCGTGGCCACGGAGCTTTGCGACACCCATTGGCGCCGGTTCGCCATTTGGGACTGTTTCTCTCACATCCCTGCTGAATGCTTTTGTTTGGCAGAAGATGCTTTATTTTTAATAAAGATTAAAAATAAGCACAGTCAAGTAAGGAGCCAGTTGTGGAATTGACTCAGCTGTTTTCCATCTTCATTTACAACTGCAGAAATCAATGGGAGCTCATGGGAAAAAGAATAGCTGAATGTAGTCCTTAGTAAAAATAAATGAGACCCTTGAGATGACCATAGTCAGTTTCCTTTATATAAGTGTGTGTTTAAAAACCCTGAGTAGTTCCCTGATATCCTCTAGTATTCTTAAGTCTAGAGGTGATTGGTCATAGTAGAAATGAACATAAGATGTCAAGTAAAGATTCAAATCAAAATTTTCCCAAATTTCAGATATTAAGTTCCACATCTGGATCTGAACTTGCCCAACATTTGTGGTGTTGGCCATCAGCCATTGCTAGTGTCTTGTGGTCTCAATTCCCATTTCTTCTGCTTCTGGCAGAAGGTCTCTTAGGAAATCTGGCTCGGTACTTATAAATAAAGTACTTATACGAGGCTTATAACTAAAATCTACTGTATCTATTTATAGGCTTTCATAAAGTGGATTGGCTTCGTTATCCTTCAAAATGAAACTCAAATCTCACTTCAGAGATTCATTTATCTGAGTGGCAAAGGTGTTTTGTTATGTCTGTGCTTGCAAGGCACTATATTTCAAAGAAATTGTGGAGCATTTTCTTGTTGTTCTTGTGTGGTCTGGGTTGATGGGGGTTGTATGTAAGAAATATGCAAGAAGTGTTTTGTACAAACACTCAAATCTTTATTGTCTTTTTAACCAACCAAAAATATTTTAAGCTCCTCATTGAAGCATTTTCTGCAGATTTGGTGCACTCAGAATACTTTTTGTGCACTGCTAAGTGGGCAGATATCTTCAGTTGTCCCAGGAGGATTTGTTGTCCTGATGGCTGGCATAGTTTGAGGAGCTGATCCTGTTCATTAACACCCATGTGCATGGATTTCTGTATCTGAGAGCTCTGGCTGCGTCCTGCTTCTTGCTAGGAGTTCATTGACCCTGCAGAAGCTGGATTATATGCTGTTACTTACATTTATACAAAGCAATAGTCAAATAGCACTCTATTTCAGGAATTTCTAAACAGTAACGAGGCCTGTGATGCAAACAGCCATCTTGCTGTATGAGCACCTACCTATTATGCTACATAGTGCCGGATATCTAGCTTCCAACATAACTCATTATCCTGAAAACCCCTTACCTGGTCTTGCATCACTTGATATTTAATTACAAGAACAGCCTACAACAGGGCACAGAAGTTGCTTTCTCTACAGAGTACAACAGCAGTTCATTCTTCCAATCAGTTTGGCAGCTGCTGTTTCTGGCACCAAAAGAGCCCCTCACATCCCTGGAGGTGGAGGGAGTGGGGTTATCATGGTGAGTGAATTAGTCCACACAAGAAAATTGTCTCTTTAATTCTCAGTCTCCTATATAGAAGAGGGACATGTGCGAAGTGTAGTTTTGATCCAAACATTCCCAAATATCAAGATTTTCATATACAAAGTTTTATTTCTGACTCATCTCTTGTTTTTCAGTTTAGTTTTCTTCCATTTTCACTCCTCCTGCTCACTGAGATTTCTCTGAACTGACTAGCCTGTTTTGGGTTTTGTTAATTTATTACTCTCTCAACTCCCATTCGGTTACTTAATTTCAAGAAAGATTAAATTAATAACAATCAGGGAAAGGGACTGCATTTAAATTCTCTTTGTGAATATTAAGAGTAAAGTGCAACTAACATATATACAATAAATAAAGGTAAAGCTACTCAGAACCATGGAGTATACCTTTTCTTTATTTCTTGTTCATGATGGACTAATTCTTTTCCTTTGCTTGTCTTTGCAGTATTCATTAGATGGAAATGGAAACTTTGCTCAGCAAGGGAGGGGAAAAAAGGCAAATAGGATGTTAAGAATAACTAAGAAAGGGATAGAAAATAAGACAGTATGCCCACATCTTGAGTATTATGTACAAATGTGGTCTCCTCACCTCAAAAAAGATATTTCGGCCTTGGAAAGGGTTCAGAAAAGGGCAACTAAAATGATTAGGGGTTTAGAACGAGTCCCATATGAAGAGAGGTTAAAACGACTGGGACTTTTCAGTTGAGAAAAGAGGAGACTGAGGAGGGATATGATAGAAGTATATAAAATCATGAGTGGTGTGGAGAGGGTGAATAAAGAAAAGTTATTTATTAGTTCCCATAATAGAAGAACTAGAAGACACCAAATGAAGTTAATGGGTAGCAGGTTTAAAACTAATAAAAGTAAGGTCTTCTTCATGTAGTCAACCTGTGGAACTCCTTGCCAGAGGAGGCTGTGAAGGCTAGGACTATAACAGAGTTTAAAGAGAAGCTAGATAATTTCATGGAGGTTAGGTCCATAAAAGGCAATTAGCCAGGGGATAGAAATGGTGTCCCTGGCCTCTGTTTGTCAGAGGCTGGAGAAGGATGGCAGGAGACAAATCGCTTGATCATTGTTTTCGGTCCACCCTCCCTGGGGCACCTGGTGTTGGCCACTTGGCAGACAGGCTACTGGGCTAGATGGACCTTTGGTCTGACCCAGTACAGCCGTTCTTATGTTCTCGGGCATATTGGCGTCCGGGCGCCGCTTCTCCAGGGCCTCCAGAGGGGGCAGGAGGTCCAGGGGGCTGGCCTGCAGCAGAAGGTGCCAGGCAGCCTCCAGAAATTGCCACCAGGCTTGCAGCAAGACGTTCAACATGCGTACCAGAGTGCCCAGGGGCGGCTCTGGCTCCATGGTGCCGAGTGCTGTGGTGTCCCAAATGAGAGCGACCAAATCAGACGGAGAGGAAAACGCATGACGGATCATGTGAGGATTACCTGTTGTGTTCCCTCCCTATGGGGCATCTGGTATTGGCCACTGCCAGCAGACAGGATACTGGGCTAGATGGACTGTTGGTAGTCTGACCCAGTATGGCCGATCTTATGTTCTTAGTGATGCCCATGGGAGTTTCCCAGTAGACTGAGGGAGTATGTAAGAGCTGCCTCTAACTAGAAATGGAATACAGCCCTCTTCAAAGGAGGTTGACACTGACACCTTTGCTGTAATGTCTTCCTACAGCAATAATAAGGGGAGGTGATGGGGATATTTTTTTCTCCAACGGCCAAAGCCCATTCTGTGGGTCCTAGCATTCTCTCCAGGGAAAACTGATCATTATTACTTTTTCTATTGCAATAGTGCCTACGAATGATGGGTACAGCCCCTAAAGTCTGGGAAAAGATTTCTTGTTTGGGTTTAAAAGTCACCGTCAAGATCAGCGCAAAGTTGGGGGATTGTATACACGAGCTTTATCAAGACAGGGCGGATCGCAAACCATTTGGCTTGGAAAAGCCCCGCTTTCCTTGCCGTGATCATTATTACTTTTTCTATTGCAATAGTGCCTACGAATGATGGGTACAGCCCCTAAAGTCTGGGAAAAGATTTCTTGTTTGGGTTTAAAAGTCACCGTCAAGATCAGCGCAAAGTTGGGGGATTGTATACACGAGCTTTATCAAGACAGGGCGGATCGCAAACCATTTGGCTTGGAAAAGCCCCGCTTTCCTTGCCGTTGTGGGCGTCGGCGGGGCAGGTGCCTGGGACGCGAGGAGCCCCGGGCGGGGTTGCTTTGCTGTACGTGTCCCCAGCGAGGGAGGAGGCGGGCAGCGCCGACGATGGAGGCGAACCGGAGCGTGACACCTAATCTCCGGGAGGCGTGAATAAAGGGCCCCAGCAGGCGGGGCTGCAGGTGCACCAGGACCAGGAAGCGGTAGCGCTCCGGAAAGCCCGCCCGCCCGCAGCGGGAGCCGGGGAGCGACGGACCGGCTGCGCTGTCCGAGCCGGGCCGGGATCCCACGCTGCGTGACTGACCCCAGCTCGGTGCTTCTCTGCTTCCGCCCTCTGACATGAACAGGACGCAGCTGAAGCGCTCTGGGATCCTCAGGATGGCTCTGAGCGGCTCCTCTGACCCGCTGCTGCAGCAGGAGGAAGGGGGCAGCCACAGCAAGGAGACCCCCTTCATGTTGAAGGCTATCCAGATCGCCTTGGTTGTCTCGCTCTACTGGTTCGTCTCCATCACCATGGTCTTCCTCAACAAGTACCTGCTGGATAGCCCCTCGCTACACCTCGACACCCCGCTCTTTGTCACCTTCTATCAGTGTGCTGTCACTGTTGTCTTCTGCAAGGGCCTCAGCCTGCTGGCCTCCTGCTGCCCACCAGGCCACCTGGACTTTCCCTCCATCCGCATGGACCTCAAGGTGTCCCGCAGCATCCTGCCCCTCTCTGTGATCTTCATCGGCATGATCACCTTCAACAACCTGTGCCTCAAATACGTTGGTGTGGCCTTCTACAACGTGGGGCGCTCCCTCACCACTGTCTTCAATGTCATTCTCTCCTACTTGCTCCTCAAACAAACCACCTCCCTCTATGCCCTGATAGCATGTGGGATCATTATAGGTGAGTAAACCTTGTGGAGTCTAGTTATACCCGTGTGACCAGTTTGATCATCTTCTCAGAACTGGATGAATTTCCAAGGTGACCTTCAAAGGAAAAATAGTTGAGTTTATACCTTTCCTTCTGTCCTCCATCCCCTACTCCAATTCAGGGTGGAGAAAAAGAGCCTGGGAGGTTTTTGAGTGTTTGTATTGTGGTTTTTGTTTTTGTTTTGTGTTTTGTTTGTTTTTCCTGTAAATTGTGTCCTACCCCTTTTTTAACTTTAGAAATTTGATTCCTCTCTAGGCTGGAAGAGTCTTCAGTGACTGGAAAAGTAGAGAAATAATGATAACCCTAAAGCCAACAAAATGAAAACTGAGCAACTGATAATATTTTTAGTTTAGGGATGTAAAATTTTGATTAATTGGATAATCAAATAGTCGATGCAATTTGCTTCAACTATTCGATTAGTTAATAAGGGCGCTTCCACCTTTGAAGTGTAGCAAAAGCCCCAGTGGCTGTCCCCTGCTGACCCCCGTGCTCCTCACGGCATTTCAAAGTGTCAGTGCTGCATGGAGCCTGGGGTCAGCTGGGGACTCTCCAACTGAAATCGGCTCCATGTGGCGCTGCTGCTTTGAAATGACCCCCGGCTGCCTCTAGGATGTTGACTATCCGATAAGCATTTGCTTATCAGATAGTCAGCTAATCATTCAGATCCCTATTTTTGTTCTTGGGGAGTTTTCAGTTCTTAGGAGGTTTTTAATGGTTATCTTATTCCAATGACTAATTAAACATTTTGTGAGACCTCATAAAATAACATATCCTAAAACAAAACCAGTGAAGACAAGATTTGACTTTTCTGAGATTGTTTTTGCTTTTTGTTTAGAATATTTGCAAAGAAGGGATGGAGGAGAACCTTAACTTTGATGCTGCATTCAGGTCATCTTCCTCCATATAAGGTGGAGCTGGGAGAGAGTAACAAACCCATTTAAAAAGCAACTGTCAATAGATTGTTTTTAATGGAGTGTGTGGGGTCTCTGGTGTCTGTAATTCCCTGATTTGTAACTAATTTTGTCTGGTCGCAGGTGGATTCTGGCTGGGCATAGACCAGGAGGGAGCAGAGGGCACTCTGTCATGGGCCGGCATATTCTTTGGGATCCTGGCAAGTCTCTGTGTCTCGCTTAATGCCATCTACACCAAGAAAGTGCTGCCTGCTGTGGATGGCAGCATCTGGCGCCTGACCTTCTACAACAATTTGAACGCCTGTGTCCTATTCTTGCCCTTCATGTTGCTGCTTGGCGAGTTTCGCACCCTCTACCACTTTGACAAGCTGGGGAACCCTGTTTTCTGGGGCATGATGACCCTGGGTGGCGTGTTTGGTTTTGCAATTGGTTACGTGACAGGACTCCAGATCAAGTTCACCAGCCCACTTACCCACAATGTGTCTGGGACAGCCAAGGCCTGTGCTCAGACAGTGCTGGCTGTCGGCTACTATGAGGAAACCAAAAGCTTCCTGTGGTGGACAAGCAACATGATGGTTCTAGGAGGCTCCTTTGCCTATACATGGGTGAAAGGGCTGGAGATGAAGAAGACACAGGTAGAATCCATTCCAAAAACAGATGAGAAAAATGAGACTGGCGTCTAGACCAGCTGTAATCTGCACATCTGCAACTGTGCCTATGAAATGGAGCTTCAGTGGGAAAAGAAGAACCTTCAGGCAGGAAAACACTCAACTACACACTGCATACGAAGGGGTGTTGGCAGTGATGCCAAAGATGCTCTGTGTATACAGTTTGTTTACTAAAATTGTGAGGGAGGGGAGGAACATGCTATTTCCATTGAATTTCACAGTTTCTTGAATAAGGAGGGGCTTTTGTTGATGGGGACAAGGGTGTACTGGGAGACCTTTTGTCAGTACTGGGGCTTTTTTAAACTGCTGCTGCTATCTACATAACATATGTACACCAAGGTGCTGGTGATGAAGAGGGAAAAGGGCATAAGATGTACAAGTCTGGAGACTGATGGCTACTTCTAAAGTAGCCATTAATTTAGCCTTAAATGTAGGGAGGGGCAAGTAGCCAGACTTTCCAGGCTACCCCTGCCTCATATTATAAATAAAGTTAAGATTTTGTCACAGTTATTGTTAATAAAAGCCACAGGCAGGTCATGGGCAATAAACACAAAATTATGGAAACCCATGACCCATCTGTGACTTTTTTACTAAAAAAAAAGGGTGTGTGTGTGTGTGAAGGAAGCCTTGGGGTGGGGGGGATGAGAGCACAAGTGCTGTTGCAGGAAGGGAGGATAGGGTAGCTGATAGCTGTGGCTCTGCTACTCTGGGCTGAGGCAGAAAATGTCATGGAAGTCTTCAGAAGTCATGGAATCTGTGACTTTTATGCCCTCTGTGACAATCTTAGCCATAATTATAAATTAAAATGGATGTTGTTCCTGTTCCTCCCCCATTGCAATATACAATTGGAAATTCCCTCACCAACAGTTCTGGTACTTCTAAGTTCACTGTCTGAGAGGTCAGTATTTCTTGGTGGGGGCCCTTCAAAGTTCTATATTAACTTTGGGGGCTTTTTTTCACACCCCGGGGGTTTGCTTGTCCAATGAATGACTAAAAGGGTGAGACAGAACTACAACCCCCCCCTTCCAAAAGCTAGCAATATTCCTTTTATTAAGCAAGAGGATGGTGCTGGCCCTTTCACAAAATATTGATGGGACCTTCCTTTACTGGGTACGCTTAATTAAAGAGTAGCTGGTTCTTTTTTCCTATGGGTTTCTGAACCATTTGCTGTTCTGGGGTGAGTACTCCATAATAGTGAGTTGGGGAGTTTGAGACATTTCTCACATCTGCATTGGGGCAGAGCTGCCTTTCAATAATTAGGCCAGTTTCAGGGTGCATTGCTCTCTGCCTCTAGTGGTTGCCTTACTTAGTGATCCTCACAAGAAGAGGTGCCCACTGTGTGAAATTATGGAAAAATGCCATAATTCAGCTGCACTATGAATTTACTAGGAGGTTGTTACACTTTTACCAAGAAATCCCAGTTTGCAGAGGAGCAGTGAATGCAGTAGGGCTGAATTCATATCCAAGCTCCCGCTTAGGAGTCTGATTAGCACAGAAACCTCTGTGCCCTACTGTGTCTCATTCAAGTGCCATTGTGGCTATGAACTACTTTTTCCTCATTTTGATTCACAAACATCAATTCTTCCTGCCTAGCAAATACTGTTTATCTTTATCAAACCTCTGAGTTCCTTTCTCTCCCAGGGACCACTAGGCTTTGTCTACACTAGCGGCTTCTTGCGCAAAAACATCTTGCGGAAGGGTTCTTGTGCAAGAAGTCTTGTGCAAGAAAATGTCCACACGGCCATGTGCAAGCTGTGCTTTTGCGAGAGCGCCCATGGCAGTGTGGACACTCTCTCTTGCGCAAGAAAGCTCTGACGGCCATTTTAGCCATAGGGCTTTCTTGCGCAAGAAATCCCTGCCAAACATCCACACTGCCCTCTGGTGCAAGAGCTCCTGCGCATGAGGGCTTACACCTGTTAAAAAAGAGTGTAGCTCTTGCACAAGGAGCCCTCTCTTTCCACGCCGTACTGTAAATTTACTTGTGGAAGAGCAGGTGAACAGTGTGGATGCTCGGCAGATTCTTGCGCAAGAACGGCCGTACTTGCGCAAGAAGCCGCGAGTGTAGACATAGCCCTGAAGTGAGTAGGGGAGGATCTATCCCATTGATACTCAGTAGGACTTGTTAAGAGTACATGCCATTCTTATGAAAGCAGTAGGCCTATCTGCTGGCTGGGGGAATTGTTCCTGCTTTCAGGAGCCTAAACCTCATTGGAGTTTTGAATCACATTTGCCTCATTGAAGGTCACTTTTTGGTAGGGGGATGGATTTTTTTCCATGGTCTTTTAATTTTTTTTTTACTCGGATAAATTTTAGGTTGCAAATACTGATTCGTGATTGTCAAACTTGTTTAATAAAAGTATGGATTGGAATCTTGGCTACTGTTTTGGTCTGCAAAGTTGACCAAGTGTGCAGGATGACTAGTGGTTTCTGCAGTGCTCCTTGCATACACAGAGTCCCTACATTCCTAATAGTTGCTTCAGAATGGTACCAGTCCCAACCTTTAATTATTGCATTATCACTGAACCTTCCCCAGGCCAGCCCTCACAGGCACAGGCAAGAGATGGGCCACAGGGCACATATTGGCCTGTAATCACTTTCTGAGAGCCATAGTTTCACCTGTTACACAATGTGGTCTCATATCACCGGAATCTGGAATTGCTGAGATTAGTGCTTAAAATCTCACATGTAGCTTCCCCCCCCATGCATATCACTGCTGTGTAGAGGGATAGGACTCACTCCTGTGTTCTGCTGAACTGAAGAAATTGGCCTGGAAGTTTATGGTCTCAGGCAACCAGTATTTACTGGATCACCATATAGATTCTGGGTGCTCCCTGAATGCCTCAGATAATAGTGATTGTGTGGTCACTGAACAGATACCTCCTTAAGAGCTGTGTTAGGCATTCCCCATCATCAGTATCCCCCACTTGCCTGCTTATGCATCTGACATGTTTGATGTTATAGTTCAATGCCTGCTCCTTTCCACTAAGGGGTTTGGAACAGGTCCCATGTGAAGAGAGATTAAAAAGACTGGGCCTTTTCAACTTAGAAAAGAGAAGATGGGGGGGGGGGGGGGGCCATGACCGGTGTGGAAAAAGTGACTTAGGAAAAGTTATTTACTTATTCCCACACTATAAGAACTAGGGGTCACCAAATGAAATTAATAGGCAGCAGGTTTAAAACAAACAAAAGGAAGTGTTTCTTCATTCAGCACACAGCCAACCTCTGGAACTCCTTGCCAGAGGATGTGGTGAAGGCTAGAACTTTAACAGGGTTCAAAAAAGAGCTAGATTGATTCATGGAGGTTAGGTCCATCCATGCTATTAGCCAGGAGGGGTAGGAATGGTGTCCCTAGTCTGGATATGGATGACAGGAGGGATCACATGAGGATTACCTGTTGTGTTCCCTCCCTCTGGGGCATCTGGTATTGGCCACTGTCTGCAGACAGGATACTGGGCTAGATGGACCATTGGTCTAACCCAGTATTGCTGTTCTTATGTTTTTAAAGAAGAGAACAGCCTGCATGCCAGTGGATGATGCATGCACAGAACTCTCACCAGACCAATGTCCCTGGGATTCAAAAATAACCTGGGACAGTGGATTTCAACCTGTGGTTTGCAGGCCCCAGAGAAGGTCTACAGACTATGCCTCATGTCTGCATCTGCCTTTGAAAATGTCTAGGGTCTGCAAATAAAAGAAGATTGAAAATCACTCAGCTAGGAGAAGAATTTCTCAGGCTGCTTAACTCTTGTTTCTAGTCAGGTGTGTGCCTTGCCTGGATTTCCCACAAGTTGTGGAGGCAACAACGCTTAGGCAGCAGTGCTTAGGGAACGAGGAGGAGGGGAGGCAAATTAGATAGAACACTTAGGCTGTGTCTACAGTGGCAAGAACTTGCTGCCTGTCACCACTGGCCGCGAGGTCTTGCGCAAGAACACTGACGTTCTAATGTAAGAAATCAGTGCTTCTTGCACAAGAACTATGACACTCCCGCTCAGGAATAAGCCCTCTTGCGCAAGTGTTCTTCAGGCAACATGAATTTCTTGCGCAAGAAAGCCCGATGGTTAAAATGGCCATCAGATCTTTCTTGCACAAGAGAGCGTCTACACTGGCATGGATGCTTTTGCGCAAAAGCACATCTCTTGCACAAAAGCATATGCCAGTGTAGACACTCTCTTGCGCAAATACTCTAATGCAAAAACTCTTGCATTAAAGAGTATTTGCGCAAAATCTTGCCACAGTAGACATAGCCTAAGTTTTAAGTTTAATGTGGTGTTGCCAATTCTTGTGATTTTAAGATCAGACTTGTGAAAGCGGCGAGGAGTCCTGTGGCACATTATAGACTAACAGAAGTGTTGGAGCATAAGCTTTTGTGGCCCATGAAAGCTTATGCTCCAACACTTCTGTTAGTCTGCAAGGTGCCACAGGACTCCTCGCTGCTTTTGCAGATTCATACTAACACGGCTACTCCTCTGATACTTGACACCATGCAAGACTTGTGAAAGTTGGTCTTGTTAAAGCCTGTGACCCTGATGTCACATGAACAGGGTTGAAACTTTACCTAAAAAAATTCTGTCCCTGAACTTGGCCTGAAAAATTCAACCCTGAAGGCAGCTAAATAATCCCCAGCGTGTAGCTTTGTGTAAATCTGATGATTGAGGGAGAGGGGGACAAGGCAGAATGGGGCCATGAAGAAGGGCTTTCTCAGGAGCGTGCAGTGTAAACTGAGGGGCGCAGATGGGGACTGGTGCAGCCGGGCTAGGGAATCACTGGGCGCTGTGCGGTATCACTGCTCCTAGTTAATGCCGGTGCAACGCGGCCGCATGGGGGCCCCATCGCCATAACGGACACCGGTCCCGTGTTAGGGCAGGTCGTGCTGCTGCTGCTGCTAGCAAAGCCCTTTTAAATCGTGGAGGCTTCACGATTCCCTTTCCTACGCCTCGCCTCCGACCTGAGACCCCCTTCGGCCTGACCCAGCGGCGCAATCCTCGCCTCGCAGGCACGCGCACGCGGCGTGAACATGCGACAAAGGCGCTAGCCAATGGCGTACCCAGCCAATGACGGGCGCGGGCGCCAATCTG